CGCAATGAAGCTGCGCGCCGAGGCCGGGTTAATATTTTTTGGGCTTTTGGTGTATTGCCGCCGGGATTAGCCGCAAACATTGGATTCTGGTCCGAGGACACAAGAGTTCTACTGTGGCGGAGAGTAAACGTCAACGTAGAAATCCTGTTTCCAAGAGCTTTGGCATTCATAAAACCATGCTCAGCGGCACAGGCAGTCTCGAGCAAAGAATGGTCGCAAGCGTCGTTTAAAGTGACTAGTGGTCTGTTTAACAGAGGAGGTTTTCTCTGCGCTTCTTTGGTTCTTGGTTTGAAGAACCGTCGCATTAGTCTCCGAGCCCATTCCGACCTTCGAACTTTGAAGCCTGCGATAGCTCGGTCCCTTTAAATGGTTCTCATGGTTCGGAATAGTTCCTGAGAGTTGCTTGATGGTTCCGGAACACCTGTTGGCGCTTACACACAAAGAAGCTACCGGACATTCTCTGAATCACGCAAGGCGTGGCACCCATGGACGCCTCCCAAACCAGCTGCAAGGCTCCTGGCCGATAGATTTTCGGTTGGGGCTTTGGATTCAGGCGGCGTGGAGTTGTAGAGTTTGGAATGAGTTTTTCAGGCTTAGAGACATTAAGGATGTGGTGGAGGGTTTAGGGTTGAGAGTTTTAGAGGTGAGGAGTGATAGAGCTGGCTGAACGCGAACTAGTTCTAGAATTGAGGGACGTATGTCTCCAAACCCCAAAATCTCGGTCCCACACACCCTAAACTTTAAATCCTAAGACCCTAAACCCGAAAGATAAGTACTCGCTGTCACACGCACCGTAAACCTTAAACTCAAAGTCGCTCAAGCCTGTGTTGGCAGATGCAACGCGTTGAAGCCAGCAAATGGGCTGCACCATGGCTTGATGTGCTAGCTTTGGCAACGCATGTGGCTCTACATGTGGCTCTACAGCTTCTGTTTTATGTTGGATCACTGCTGTCAAAAACGCAAGAAACGACAAGCCTTCAACCCTAAACTTAAGCCCTCAGTCTGGTTGGAACCCAGACTCAGGGCTACTACTACTGCTACTACTACTACTACTACTACTACTACTACTACTACTACTACTACTACTACTACTACTACGACTACGACTACGACTACTACTACTACTACTACTACTACTACGACTACTACTACACTACTACTACTACTACTACTACTACTACTACTACTACTACTACTTCTACTACTACTACTACTACTACTACTACTACTATTACTACTACTACTATACTACTACTACTACTACTACTACTACTACTACTACTACTACTACTACTACTACTACTACTACTACTACTACTACTACTACTACTACTACTACTACTACTGCTACTACCGCTGCTGCTGCTGCTGCTGCCACTGCTACTGCCACTGCCGCTGCCACTGTTACTGCTACTGCTACTGCTACTGCTACTGCTGCTGCTACCGCTACAGCAAGAAAGACCCGTGAAAGGTTTTACAGTGAGTCCACGCACCCTTAACCCGAAACCCTAAACCCTAAGCCCTAGACTTGCTCAAGCATCTCTCGGCAGATGCTACAACGTATTTGTTTTTGAAGACGATTCACGCAATGATTTGTGCTCTTTGATCAGATTTGATCATGTTTGATCCTGTCAGCATTTGTTGCTTGCTGATCTCCTTATTGATTTCCACAGATAAGAGAGGAGTGCCGAGCCTGCGAGGTTAGGAAGGTCAGGTTTCTTGGAAGTGCTGAGAGGCTCCCACGGAGCGATATTTGCGGACATCGTGCTTGCGGCTCCTTCGTGTGAGAACAAAGTGCTTGGCGCCTGTCTAGTTCAGCTTGTCTTCCACTTGGTCCCTGGTGGCTTATCGAGCAATCTATAATTCCTTGCTACATGTGGGGGTGGCCGGGCTATGGCGCGGCTCTGAGCATGCCTCACGTGGCTGCGCTGGCGTTGTGGATGTTCCCTGCCCACAACTGCGTTGCAGCAGCAACCCTTCACTGGCTCCTGCGTCAGGAACGGCAGCTCGCGTGCGTGCCAGCGTCAGGATCACACTTGTACTTGTTCATATGCCACGGGGCTATTTGGCGCGGGTGTTCTCGGCTAGGTGCTTGCGATGCCCCATTTCAATTACAAGGGGGCGTGCGGATTTTGGTAGAATTTCGCTCATTGGTTTCGAAGCTTGTTTTCCATTTTTTCTTGCTTCTTTTCTTCTGCAAAATCAGTTTCCCAAGCAGCTTTGGAGAAGAATCAACTAGTCAATCAGCTCGTTGATTGGGATAAAAAAAGTGATGCTCAGGGGTTGCTCTGAGAGAGCGGAGGGAAGATCAGGTGCAAAGGTTTGCCGACGCCACAGACAGAGAGTGTGTGTGTTAACACATCCAATAAAGTTTCGTGGCACTGTTTTTCCTGAGTTGGTAGTCTCATTGAAAGTTCGCCGCAGAACGCATCGGTTGCTTCCGACGCTCGCTCAGATCAGTCTACGGAAGTCCTCGGCACTGCCGCTAGAAGTGTCTGACGACAAGCGACATCGGACTCTACACATTCTTCTGATTTTGTTCGCTGTCGACCTCAGGATCGCAAAGCGTTCCGTGGTGAAAGAAGGCCAGCTTTCAGATCCTGACAGGATGTGATCTTTTCTGAAAGATATTGATCTCCTAATGACCCTGATTGTACCGAGCTTGACAGCAGTTCTGAATGTGCTGTGTCACCGCTGGGCAAGCACGTAGACTTTCCTCCGTTCAGGTGTTCGCCTGCGTGCGCAGCAGCGAGCAGTTCTACTTCGAATTCAGCTGCTGTTGCTGCGTCGTTTTTGAGGTCTTCCTTGATGATGGTGCAGCGATTTCTTCTTCGGTCGTAGTTGTGACTGTGGTGGAGGTGGCATGCTCTTTGCTGTAAGTTTCACTGTTCTGATTATTGGGACGGCGCAGCATGCGTAGGTTCGTCGTTACGCGACTGTTCTGCTGTGGTGGCGGTGAGAACAGACCTCACAACGCTGGGCGGGCAGATGATTGTAGCAGGCGCTCGGGTGATTCCTGCGGGTGTGGCGTGTCTTTGCTCGGCGTCGGCCTGGCCCGGCCTGGCTGCTGCTGTTGATGCGTCCTTTTGGATGTCTCCTTCGTGGGGTAGCGATTTCTTTCTTTTTCGGTCGTAGTTGTGTGGTGGAGGTTGCGTACCCGTTGCTGTGGTTTCACTGTCGCGGTTAGTGGGGATGGGGGCGAGGCTTGTGTAGGTTCGTTATGCGACTGTCCTGCTGTGGTGTCCCTTGTGGTGGCGGCGAAGGGTGACTGTGGTGCGCGCTGCGGTTGTCACGCGGTCACATGCTGCTGAATCTCTTGCGGCCGAAGGGTTTTCTTTCTCGCGAAGCCTGCCAACCCATGGGGGGTCTGGGGTGCAACCAGACCTAGAGAATTGAAAAGAAGACGAGTACCTCGACGACTGGCGATGCATCAAGCCAAGTGAAAAAAAAAGCCTCGCAAACCCTATGCTAGATGCCTTAGGTGCCTTAAATCTAAACCCTATATTTTGTATGTGTGAATTGCACCGTTGAAATAGCAAACAAAAGCGGAGTGGCAAACAGACCCTAAAGGTCCATGCCACACAGCCCTCAACCCAAAGCCCTACTACTCCCAAAGCCCCTAGACCTTAAACTCTAAACTCAATACCAAATCCTTACATAGCCGCTATAAAATCCTACAAGCACCGCTCGACAACCTTATCAAGAACCTTGATAAATTCCATGGAACCGGATCCCTAAACCCAAAGCCCCAAACCCGAAACCCCTTATCAGGTTACCCGGTGAACTTCTTGGCAACTTCTGACAGCTGAGAGGGCCCTGGGGGTCGTCGGTTCTGTAACGTTTCAAGGTTTCCCAGCTTGACTGTAAGGTTTTAGGGTTTTCGGTCTTCAGAGCTTTAAGGTTTTCGGGTCTTAAGATGATCTCGAGCTTGTTCTCAGAACCCCAGAGCTCTAGTTTTGCACGCTCTTGCTTAGAATCGCATCTTGCTTTCCAAAGCTCTGGCGAGCTTCTCCCGATGCTTTGGTAGGGGCCCATAATCGCATCTTCATGTTTTGCAAAGGTGTCGCGAGCTTCTCGTGATGCTCTGATAGGGGCACAGAATCGCATCTTCATGTTCTGCAAAGCTGTCGCGAGCTTCTCTTGATGCTCTGGTAGGGGCCCAGCTCTTGATGCCCGGTGTAGGGGCAGTCTCTCTCTCTCTCTCTCTCTCTCTCTCTCTCTCTCTCTCTCTCTCTCTCTAGTTTTTGTTTTCCCATGCGCACGGCCCCACGCGGATGGCCAAGTGTGAAGCAAACATGCGGACGGCCCGTTGTGAAGGAAACATGCGGACGGGCCAATGTGAAGGAAACATGTGGCTTACTTTCCCTTTCACCTGTACGGCGGTAGGTAGGCTCTTGGATCTCTTGGGATATTGTATTGTTTTGGGGTTTAGGGTTTAATTAGGGTTTAGGAGTATATGTAAAAGATGTGGCATGTCGCTGGAAACAGGTTCCCCGCGCGCGCGAACCACATTGTACATGTTCTACCGTGCCACCCCCCCCCCCCCCCCCCCCCTCCCCCCGTTTTTGGAGGGGAGGGGGAGGGTTCCCTCCCCCAAAACCAGCCAACAAACTAAACCCTAAACCCTAAACCCTAAACCCTAAACCCTAAACCCTAAACCCTAAACCCTAAGCCCTAAGCCCTAAACCCCTAAACCCCTAAACCCCTAAACCCCGAACCCCGAACCCTAAACCCTAAACCCTAAACCCTAAACCCTAAACCCTAAACCCTAGAACCCCAAACCCTGAACCCCAAACCCTAAACCCGAAACCCTAAACCCTAAACCCTAAACCCTAAACCCTAGCACTTGGGATGTTCCCCCTTGCACCAACAGTTCCTTATAGGGATGATAATAGGTGGTTCCATAATCCCGATTAAGGACTGTTAGCAGAAGGGGGAACATCTCAACCTAACACGCCAAACTCCCCAAACTCAACACCCCACTTCTTCATGTTTCCCAGGTACACCTTCCAGCAGATCAACGCCCCACGCGTCGGAGGTGGCTTGGCTGAAGCAGTTCTAGGGTTCGAAAGGTTCAGGTTAGGGCGTTAGGGCTACGGGGGGACAACCAAGGAAGGAAATCAACTCCCCTAATCGCCCTGAACTTATATTTCCCAGATCGAACCAAGAAACAACCAAGAACACGGATAAGAGCAACCCAGGGGGGAAGGAAAGGGGGAAGGAATCCACACCCTTACCAAACCCTAAGAACCCAGGCACTACTTTTTGAACTTGTGGCTTTCTGTTCAAGCCCATCTTGAGCCAAATACGATTACCGGGTTCATTAACCCTTCCAACTTCCAACACTAACTCCTTTCTACAATACCAATTGCAGCTCCGCACTCCCCCTGTCCTAGGATTTCCTAGGACACATTGGAGATGCAGATCTTTTGGCCAAAAACTGCCATTACGGCAGCAGCCAGCTGCTTGAAATGCAAATTGTGGTTTAACGTCTTCCAGGACGGAATTATAGCACATTGGCTAACCTACTACCCATAGAGAATCTTTTTTCACCTTGATCCTCTCATCACTGAAGACTCCTTGGCCTTCTTCACCACAAACCGTGGTCTTCGCTACGCGAAAAGCTACTGACTCCTACTATCAGGGATTTCCATACCCTTAATAGTAACCACCACATTGTCAGCACATTGGCTGTTCCAGCGCACCGGTCTCCAGAAAGAGAAAAACCATCCCTTCATCCATACCATCCAATCACTTCTTTTTCCGATTGTTGGCAATCTTGAGGTGAAGTTGCAGCAGAATATACTCCAGGTCCGAAATCGTAAGAATAGGATCCTGTATGCCCCTTTGAATTGAGGATACCAATCCTTCTCTCTTTGCGTCCTCAATCGCCTGGCAAGATTGACCCAGCTCTTCATTCGCATTGGCAGACCCTGGTGCCTCCGCATCGGATGGACGATCCTTTTCCTCAGGATCTTGCACCATTACCACCTCTTCTTTTTTGGGACTCTGACTTTTCTCCTTCTTCTTTGTCTTTCCACCGACATTTGACTTTGTGCGCGTCTTCGAGGATTTTTCCACTGCAGAAGCCACCACATTGGATGTTGATCCACCCTTCTCAATGATCGTCGGCATCTTCTTCGGCTTTGGAACCATGAGAGTGTAAGGATCTTCGATAGCTGCAGCTTTCCTCTTCTTTTTTACCTTTTTCTTCTCCTCCTCAACGGCAACCTCCGTCTCCGAAGTCTCAACCACTTCTTTTTCGGCAGGAATATCTTTGCTGGACTCCCCTTCTAGGGACCTCTTTTTCCCTTTTTTGGGATCCTTTTCTTCTCCCAAATTGGCTCGCTCATACCATATCCTCAGGTCATTGACCCATTCTTCCACCTCCGCGAGCGAAACATCATACGACTTCACTACTTCGAGAAGTTCCAGCACTGACAACATTTCAGTGGTCCACGAAACCCATACTTGATCCATTTGGTCAGCATCTCCAGTGAACTTCAGGAGTTTGAACAATGGGTCCGCCTCTGCTCGAGCCAAATCTGGCTTGCCACCGGAGAGAAATGAAATCGCCTCCATCAACAGTTCCGTCATCTTGGTCTCTTCGTCATAAACCATAAAATCCTCCTCATCATCATCGAACTGTTCAGGAGGGATCTCCTTTTCTCCACCATTTGCACCAGACTTTCTCCTTGAACCATCCCTTGGGGGCGTCCTTGGAGACCTTGGCCTCTGTTTTTCCAACGGAACACCATGCTCGAAGACACACCTGTCACCAAATCGACACTTCCCAGACCGAGCAAACTGGACGCACCTCACACCAGTTGCATCATGCGAGAACCCACAATCCTTTCCAGCGAAACATTCTCTCCCTGCCACATAGTATTTGCACCAATATGAATGTAGCACCACATCATCTTCGGAATGGATGAATGTGCAGTCGTCACCAAATTTGCAGCGATCTTTCCCTTTGCCAAACCAATAGCAGAAACCCTTCTTCCTCTTCTCCAAGCGCTCTGCCTCATACCGGTCCATAGGGCGATTGTGCTCTACATGAACATTGCCATGTACCTGGGGACTGCTCCCTTCACCCGACGTGCTATCAGTATTTGGTGCTTGGAGTACAGCTGGAAAACCTGGCCTTGGTCCTACCACCTTCATGATCGGTTTTCCGCCAACTCCTGAGCCATGCTGAGACGATCCAAAAACATTGAACATCTTCATGAAGGCCTTCCTAGCGCCAATCTTCTGCACCCTTTTGATTGGACGTTTCATTGCTCCAACCTTGCATCCAGATGCATTCAAACGACGCAACCTTCTAAACCCAACTCTATGTCCCTTCTTCCAAAGAGCCATAAGAATTTTAGAGGCAGTGACATTCTCCACCTCTACCTTTTCCAATGATCCCTCACTTCCCGGAACAAACCCATCCATCTCTGAAGACCTTTCCATCTTTTTTGACACCACTTCGTCAAGGTAGTCTTCTGAAATCCAGGGAAAGTTCCCCTTAGAGGAAGGATTGTCATCATTGTTTGGTCCTTCACCAGGATATCCTTTGGTGCTGTCAAAGATCTTACCAGTAGTGCGGTCCTGCATAGAGAAATTCGAAGCCACGCGGGAGTACACTGACCACAAGAAAATCCTTGTGTCCGCCAGTCTGGATGACCCACTGGATTTCTCCTCTTCCGGAGAAACTTCTGGCGCTTTGCCCTTCCCTCCAGTGTCACCGCTTGTCTCACCTCCAGCATCTTCAATGGGAATAAGGGATTCATTGTTCCCTTGATCAAGCACCGCATCCTCTAGTCCAAGAACTTCCAGCATCGCTGTCGAAGGATCCACCTCCTCATCCGCATCGTCGTCCATCCTTCTCCAGAGAGCCTCCAATTGGTCCGCACAAGTCGCCGCTTGAAGAAACTCCATCAACCGAGCCCTCCCGCGCTGCCAGAGAAATTCTGAAACCATCACCGACCCTTGTGCTCCCAGATTCAGGAATGGGTGAACCATTTTGGCTACCCTCGCCATAAGTTCAATATGAACTTCCATGCCTGGACTGCGGCTCCAATCATAGGCAATTGCCTCCATAGCAGTACCAAACTTGTCCGTATTCTTGAATTCCCCTTCCAGACCAGGAGACAACAAGGCACCCATCACCGAAAGAGGGTAATTCCCCACCGCCGGCAAGCACGGGTTGTCATGGAACGAATGATGCAGGTCAGTATAATATCCTTGATCTCTCCTTTGAAAAAGGAGTGTTCCAGTCCCTAGCTGGGCATTCATTTCATCCACTTGAACCATTTCAGCACATATCCTCTGTGCCAGGTGCGCCATTGCTGGCCAGACGGTACGATCGGTCAGACCGCGACGCATAACCCAATCAGTTGTTGGCGACTGGATCAGCGTTCCTGGATCATACACCATAACCATTGCACCGTCTCCCATTGACTGATCAGCATCGTCCTCCAGTGCCAGGTTCTCATCCTGTTCGCTTGCACCCTCGGATGACATGCTAATAACCAAATTTCGATCCATCTTATTGGACCCTTTTTGGCAATCTCTTTGCCCCATTGGCAACTTGCCAACTGCAACCTTCCAATAAATTCGAGTCAGAAGGCCTTTCACCAGCAATTGCTGAAGGTCACTCCTCACCGGACCACCATCCAACATCTTCGCATCATTACCACGGAGATCATTGCTCCCGCCTTCTCCTTCTTTTTGGTCGGTCTCCTCGCCAGAAATCTGTACTGCTCCTTCCGGCGCCGTCTCCTGTCCAGCCACTTCATGCCCAGGAAGAACTTGAGCGCTTTCAGAGACATTCACCTGTCCAGCAGCACCTTGCCCAGGTAAAACCTCATCCGTGGAGCCCACCGCCAGCGAACCAACCATAACTGAACCATCCCTTGTTCTTTTTTGAGACCGTTCAGCTCGACGAGAAGGTTGTGGTAGCGAAAAAACTTGAGAAGTCACTTCTTGGCGGGTCTCCCCCCGCGACGCTTTGTCGCGCCCTTCGCCAAGGTGAACCGATTTTTTCGGCCCAGCATTGGAGCCTGAAGAACCACTTTGTGGAACATTGCCACGACTCGCAGTTCTCCACGAATCCCTTTCTTGCAAAAAGAGTTCCTTCAGGCGTTGTACCGCATTGGTCTCCTCCTCGCTTGAATCGCTTGAGGAAGCGGCATACGAGACCAAAGCCTCCGCCTGGTCATCATCATCCACCACATCTGCCCACGCTCTGCTGAATGGATACGACAAACCACCACGAGGTTTCACCGGCTCCAGTGGCTTCGGTTTTTCCACCACTTCCGCCAGTTGCACTCGTCGTTGTGACCGAGATCGTGGCACCTGTCGCACCTGTTTTTTGTCCAGCAAGGGCCTTCCCCTTCTTACAGGGTTTGATCTTGACCGATACTTTTTCGTTGGTGGATTCACCGGCGGCATTCCAACTCCCACCAACCGCAGCTTCTGTACGCACAACGGAGACCTCTGCGCAAGCGTCCAACCATCACGGTACCTGACCTTATCAAAAAGCTCCCGATAGGAACCTCTCGGCATAGTTTTTGCACCGGAGTCTTCAGCTTCACGCACCTGAGTGAGGGTTCGCACCGCCGCTCTTCCAGTCCCTTTGTTCCCAGAAGATTGTTGTACCCGTACAGATGCATCAGAAGGAACTGCCTTTTCCGGTCCTCCCGGTCGATATCGGACCTCACCCACCAATTGCAGAATTTTGCATGCGGTCACTTTGTTGATCCCTTTGTCAACCAAATCTTCCACAAAGATGAACTCTTGCAAGTCCGACACATTGGTCACACCAAGCGTAATCATCACCTCACTTACATGAGGGGTATACACCCACAGGTGTGCGTTGCGAGCCATCCAATTTTCAATCGGCTCCTCCGGATTGTGAAGCTGAGTACTAGTGGATGCAGCCACCGAATTCTTTTGCTCATCAGCTTCTACTTCATCCAGAATACCTTTTTCACCATCTTTTTGTGACACATTGGTCATTTGCAGCGCTTTTGGTGCCGAGGATGAGGAAGATTCAGCTCCCCCACTCGCAGGTGGCTGAAAAGTGCTTCTATCCGTAAGCTCCCATCCTCTCTCTTTTTCAAACCGGACCTGATTGGCCACCTGTACCAAGTGTTTCAGGAGCGACAACCGCTCCTCTGACATCTCGTCATGGGAGTACTTGCAGAAATTTAACCCTTTCCGGCAACGTCCTCGGAGGTAATAATCGAAACAGCAATTGTGGAACCCTGCGTCCCTTAGTGACTTCCTGGAAGCATTGTCCCAAGATTTGCCGGGCTCCCAAGTCCCTTCCAATGCTATGTCATCGTTGTGAAGGTACCTGCATGCAGTCCCATATTTACAACCACCTTGATTGTAATACAGACACAGCCGACCTTTTGGCTCACCCGACGTAGGCTCACCCTTTGATGCACCTTTGCCAAAATTGTACTTGGCCCGGAAGGCTAAATCCTCCCGCTCCTGCTGTGCCTCATCCACTGTACCTTCCTCTGTGGGAGGGTCACCGATGTTCCCGTCCTCATCATCAGCTTCTTGGCTATTCTTTGGATCAGTTGACCCCCCTTCTGGCCAACCTTCACCGTACCGACGATGCTCATAGGGACACCCATCGCCATTGCGACACCTTCCCTTATTGAAGAACCTGCACAGCTTGCTGTAACCAGGTGACAACACCGTCTTTGGTGTCATGTAAGCCTTTTTGTACTGGTCAGGATCCATGTAGGCTTCCATTGGCTTGTTCTCCCTTTTGCTCATGGATTGCACTGCACCATCAAGCTCCTGCAAAAATAGCTTGGTGTCCAACCAAAGCGCGTTCCAAAACTCATCTTCCCCTTGATTCAGCACCGTTGCCACCGCTTCACCCACAACTGGTCGAGTAAATCTCCTTTTTCTGCATGCCAGTTCGAAAAGCGCGTTGTGGTACTGTTTTCGGGAAAAAGTGGTTAACTTCCCCAAGCCTGTGCTTTCTGTACCATCAGGCTTCCAACCATCATTTTGCAAGATGCCATACGCGCGCCGAGCTTCCGCATTGAGGAATGCCTGATCCGCAACACACTCCTGTAAATCTTCCATCGGCCGACCTAACAGCATCCCAGTAATTTTGCCAACATAGGCTTCCTCTTCATTTCCATTCTCCAGAAGAGCTTTGTAGATCTTTTCTCCATAAAGTTGCCTTTCTTCTCGTTCTTCAGAAGACAACTCCTGTACCACAAGCTCTTCATCGGATTGCTCTTCCTCCTGTTTCCAGTCCCATTGACCGTTGGAATCTTGGTACCATTGACCAGCATACCATGAATCCGTCCACCACGTACTCCAGCCGCTGGGTTTCCACTTCCGCAGCGTCGAAGAAGAGTCCTCCACGTCCTCTTCCAAAACCAGAAAGGTGTCCAAGATTATGGTACCATCATCTTCCACTCGTTTCACTGTTCCATTGACAGTATCACCAAACTTGAACTGATATGCATTGTTCCCTTCTGCAGGAATCAATACATTCATATCCCCATGGTCCAAAAAGGCTCCATACCCATTGATGCAGCGCACTAGACCCATGATCTCATCTCCCTCTTGATAGCAATGTGGCCCAGGTGACTCCAAGGCTCCCGCTCGGGGCACTTTCTTTACACGCTCTTCAGAAACCATCTCTGTATCATCGGCTCCTGGCGCATCCTTTGTCTTCACCTTTGGGTCACACTGCTCGTCCTGCTCCACGAGTCCCACAAGCTCATCTTTTTTGTGCTCCTGGATTTCAGGACCTCCCTTTTTCTCCGCCAACGGCTTTGCCTCATCTGCTGTAGTTCGCTCGGTGTCGACTTCCGGCGAACTTCCAGACGGCAACGCTTCTCCCTTCATGGGAGTGGACCCATCATTGGAGTCCTTTGTCTCACCTTCTGCAGCAGGCAAATCTTCTTCCACTGCAGGGCAATTGAGTCGATCATCCACGGCAGGCACGCTTTCTTCCACCGCAGGCTCCTTTGGTTCCATGGCCTCCAAAGGAGAATTTCCACCATCATTGACCACAGCTGCCTCATTGGCTCCGGTGTAGCCCTTGTCATTTCGTTCCTCGCTGCTAACTTCAGGTTGCACCAGTGCGTCCACCTGTGAACCTCCATCATCAGCTGCTGCGGAGACCTGCGCCCCATTGTTGCAGTCGCCCGTGGAACGTACCACCACATGCACCTCAACCCGTGCTTCCTTCGCACTCCAGGTAATATCTGGCGCATCAACCCGCGCATCATTGGCGCTCCAGGCCTCATTTTTCAGATCATCCGTGTCTCCAGCTATTCCAGAAGCTTCTTTTTCCCCTTGAATGGCAGAATTCTTGGCACCAAACGAAGAGACCTCCTCAGTCGTAACACACAACTTTTTCTCTCCATCCTCCGAATCTCCAGGACCACCTTCCTGAACAACAGGTACCACATCCACCACTCGCTCTTCTGCAGCCGACACAGTTCCGATCACCTCATTGGGCATTTTCTCTTCTGGATCCACCAATTCCATCGCTGCCCCACCCTCAGAAAGCGCTTCTGTTTCTTCCCGATCCAGGTGTTGAGCTCCAGCGATGTTGGCTTGGTTCCCAGGAATCCCTTCCTCATCAGGAGAACCCGGGGTCGGGGCGTCACCATCAGCCCTAGGACCGCTATCCCTGATAGTAGAGGAAAAATCTTTTTCACCTAAACTATTTACACTACCCTGGAATGCCCTCGTAGACTCAGTCTTCGGAGTAGAGGATGAAGAATCCAGTGCCGCCTCCATTTCCAGCTCATTGCCCAAAGGAGACCCAACCACCTCGTCACTCTTCACCTTTTCACCTACCACCGGCAATGTCCACTTGGTTTCGTGCGTATCCAGGCAGTAATAATATTGTCTCCCATCTTCATGGAGGTGCAATTCCCACATTGTGCCATCACACGCTTGATCAGATGCTCGTCTTTCCGAAAACCGTCCCTTTCAGAAACCTGTCGCATCTCGTCCTCTTCTTCTGACAGCTGTCGCAACCGTTCAGCCTCCATCTGTAGGATCTCCTCCTCCCCCATGGCGTATTCAGCAGCAGGTGCAGCTTCAAAGCCGTCCGCACCCTTCTGTTTGTGACCGCTTCCACCACCTTGGGAACTCGAAGATGGACCCTTTTTGATCTTGTTCAACGGCCTCCTGGTCGCTTGTAGCACTTCTCCAATCAGATCGGTCTGAGACTCTTGGTCTACCATTCGACCCGAAGTCGAAGACGACGGCTGGTACCCGTGTTTGTGTAACACTCGTAAAACAGTCACCTCCATTTCACGATCTATGCCACCAGTCGCATCCCAGTTCCTTTTTTCACCAGGCTTTGGCGGTACAGAAACAGCACGTCCTTCAGCTTCAGCATTGCTAACCATATCCCTATTGGGATTCATACCCGCATTGGGGCTTTCTGCAACCAAGGCCTCTTCCAGATGTACTTCAGCGTCGGGAATCACCTCTTCCAACACCGATCTTTCACCCAGAGACTCAGCTGCACCATTTCCAGCTCCACCATCTTGTCCACCATCCGAGGCAAGTTGGAGCCATCGCTTCGGAGAAGGCATTGCTTCTTGATCCCAAAACCTTGAAAGAACACTTAACCGCAGGGAACCTAATTTGGGCTCATAACCTACGGGGGGACAACCAAGGAAGGAAATCAACTCCCCTAATCGCCCTGAACTTATATTTCCCAGATCGAACCAAGAAACAACCAAGAACACGGATAAGAGCAACCCAGGGGGGAAGGAAAGGGGGAAGGAATCCACACCCTTACCAAACCCTAAGAACCCAGGCACTACTTTTTGAACTTGTGGCTTTCTGTTCAAGCCCATCTTGAGCCAAATACGATTACCGGGTTCATTAACCCTTCCAACTTCCAACACTAACTCCTTTCTACAATACCAATTGCAGCTCCGCAAGGGCTTTAAGGGCTCTAGGCTTTAGGGTTTTTTGGGGTGCAAGGTTTAGAGTGCTAGACATCGGGGTTGTGCGGGAGCATGTTGCTTCTGTGAAAACCCGAGGCAGGCCTTTTGGGACATTTGGGGATTGAGGGTTCCGGGCCTAGGGGTAATTCTGTGCGGGGTTTATAACCCTAAGCCCTAAACCCTCAACCCTAAACCTATGGGGCTTAGGGATGTTCAGGGTTCTCGAACTCTGTGGTTCGTTACTGTGACCTTCGATGTTATGCCTTCTTGTGTTTGCCGGCTGTAGGGTTTGGGGTTTAGGGCTCAGGGATTAAGGAGTGGGGACTAGGGTTAAGGTAGCCAAGAGTCAGCATTGTTGAGCCAGGCTCAACAGTGTAGCCACGTTAGAAGGAATCAAACCCTAAACCCTGCGCAGCAAACTCTACCGAACCCTGTAGCCTAAAACCCGCTCAACCCCCTTTGGCAAGGTGAGTGTGTGAACCTGCCGACGGTGAGCCGCTGGTAGAAGCCCCGGTGCACATGCATTTCTGAGTTTCTGTTGAGGAATGCCAGAATATGAGTCCAGAATATGGGTACCTTAGTAGTAGAGTAGGTAACCTTTAACCTTTTTGGGGTAGTATAATCCCCTTATAATCCCAGAGGTTAACGTTTAGTTCCCCTAGCTACTAAACAACAAAGGTACATAGAAACATCGTATATCTTCCGTGCCCCCCCCCCCCCGACACCACCCACAAGGTTCGTGGCCTTCATGCCGGGCGCCCGGGCTTGCTGGGCCTTGACAGGGAGCTTCCGATTTTTCACGAGTTGGCCGCTTTACGGTTGCTTCTCAAGCAGGAAATCCGAAACCCTAGACACCCAGGCAGGGGTTTATGAAATTAGGGGTACCACATTGGCGTCCTTATTCTAAGGGGATCCTCGTATTTGGAGGTCCATATTTGGGGTCCCCTACTGTCGTAAACCCCCCCCCATGTGTCTAGGGTTGAGGGTTTAGGTTCCTCAAGATTTCGGCATGTTTTCGTCTGATGCTCCCCGTTCGAAACCTGGAGGTCTAGGTATGCCCCTGTAACATGCAACCGTATGGGGTTCAAGGGGATCATACTCAGGTTTAGGGTTTAGGGTTTAGGGTTTAGGGTTTAGGGTTTAGGGTTTAGGGTGAGGGCTTTAAGGGCCATCCGATCGGTCATCCTCTTCTGGTATTTGGGGGCATGCCTCGGCATCCTCCCTAAACCCCAAACCCAAAACCCAAAACCCTAAACCCTAAACCCTGAACCCTAAGCCCGAAACAGCCCCCCAAAAAGGAGTGCCCGTGATTTTTCAAGGAACCTCGAGCTGCTTCTGTACCTGGGGCTGGTGGCCATCAAGCTCCCTCTGCTCTGCAAGCTCCAGGCCTCACGGGGGCCCCCCTGCGCTCGGATTTCGCTCTTCGAGCTTCGGGTTCAGGGTTCAGGGTTCAGGGTTCAGGGTTCAGGGTTCAGGGTTCAGGGTTCAGGGTTTAGGGTTTAGGGTTTAGGGTTCTTGGCAGCCCAGTGGCACCCTTTTTCCTTTTTTTTTGGGGGGGTTCAAGTTTCCCTGAACCCCAAAACAGGGCACCCTTATTCTGTTTTTTTTTTCATCGGCTACCAAGGTCGTTTGTGGGTCCCGTAGCTGTGTTGTAAGGCTTTATGGGGCCTTATAGGGTCAAAGTTCGTAAGGTCGTACGGGGCTTTATGGGGTCCATAGCGCTGTGGGGGTGCCCGGATACTCAGTGGTGCACTTCTTCTCTTCTTCTACGAGCTCTTTATCCAAGACAAACCCTTCCAAATAGCAGGATTCAGGATGTGGCCAACCTAAGCCTTGCACCCTTAACCCCAAAACCCCAAAAGCCCTTCCCCCAAACCCAATGCAGATGAGGGAAGTATCCCCCCCAAATCATAGTAGGGTCCTTCTTCTAATTTGTGGATTGTTCCCTAAACCCAGACTCCCGGCCAGCTGTTCATGAGAATGAGAAGCTACCCTCCAGGTAAGGTGTAGGGTCAAGGCTCCAAGGGTACAGGATGTTTGGTTGTTGGCAGTTGCTTCCGCCCTCATGATTTAGCAGAGTGTCGAGATGTTGGGTGCTGTATGGGCCCTTCCAAACAAATCGGTAACCTTTCCCTATCGACAAGCAGAGTTCCCCTTCAAAGGGAGCCGCCGAAGGATACGCCAGTTTGCGTCCCTAAACCTCAACCCTCAACCCTAAACCCCTAAACCCCTAAACCCCTAAACCCCTAAACCCCTAAACCCCTAAACCCCTAAACCCCTAAACCCCTAAACCCCTAAACCCCTCAACCCCTCAACCCCTCAACACCTCAACCCCTCAACCCCTCAACCCCTCAACCCCTAAACCCTAAACCCTAAACCCTAAACCCTAAACCCCTAAACCCGAAACACCGCGGACATCCCGAAGCGGCGTTGCGACCCTTCTGCCAGGCCGAGTTCATGCCGAACCTTGGCATGGAGCCGGGGCCCCCAGATGCATCCGGAGGGGGAGGTTTAGGGTTTAGGGTTTTAGGGTTTAGGGTTTAGGGTTTAGGGTTTACGGGTATCGGGGTTTGGGGGGGGGGGGGGTTTCGGGGTTTCCGGGTTTAAGGGTTTTATAGAGCTTGAGATAGGCTACCGGAATCTGGAAATGGAGTAGAAGCTATGCGTTGTGTCCTGATTTTTGGGGCCACTCTTAGGGTTTAGGGGTGAGGGTTTGTGGTTTCAGACAGAGACAGAGAGAGGGAGAGAGGGAGAGAGGGAGAGAGGGAGAGAGGGAGAGAGGGAGAGAGGGAGAGAGGGAGAGAGGGAGAGAGGGAGAGAGGGAGAGAGGGAGACAGGGAGCCCTTGCTGAGCAAAGGTGCGAGGTTCAGCGGTTCATGTTCCTCCAGCGAGTGCTGTTCTTGACAGTGGCGGTGCGCCCACAGGGGTTGGGGTTTTGGGGGTATAGGGGGGGGTTTCGGGTTTAGGGTTTATGGGGGGCTGGGGGGGGGGGTGGGGGGCTGCATATTGGGCAGGTTGATCACCAAGGATGGCAGTAGTTACCAAAACGGTAAGATGTAGCTAGTTCCACCGACGGGCTGCTACTGGAAAGGAAACATCCTAAGCCATGAGGTTTGAGTCGGGAACATGCAATTTCCGGGAGCAGGAACATGTGTGGGACCAGTACCAGCGTCTCCGCCGCCTTATATGATCATTGCTGGGAGGTAATGGTTTGTTCTCATCTCATTATTCTTTATGAGCAAATTTGCATCGAAGTCATGTGCCAACGCTCACATCAACATGGCCGCGAGTTGAAGAAAATGATGGATGAATTGACTTGATATACTCATTCATAAACATCATGGTAAAACAGATATTAGGGTTTAGGGTTTAGGGTTTAGGGTTTGGGGTTTAGAGTGTAGGGTTACTTAATTATTGTGTACCAAAAAGAGGCATGTTTAGTTCCGTTGGTCTTGAGGTGAGGTTGATCTCCCGTGGTTAGCATGGCTTAGGCTGTCACGGTAAGCCACACTGGCATGAGTCGTTTCGGGTTTAGGGATTAGGGTTTAGGGGTTAGGGTTTAGGGTTTAGGGTTTAGGGTTTAGGGTTTAGGGTTCAGGGTTTAGGGGTTAGGGACTTTACCTGTGTATCAGTGCGAACGAATGTTGCAGCAGGAATGGTTTGCAACTGACTTGTGCTTCGACGATGCAATAGATGAGTATCTGTAGTGAATCTGTAGTGAATCCAACCCTAAACATGAAGCCCTTGGCGGTCGTACCAAAGCCTGCATAAAATCCGACAGGCGTCCATGTGCATCTGGGTCTTTTCATCTTACGCCTTCAGCCTGACGTTCGGGAAGCTCGGGCAGGGTTTAGGGTTTAGGGTTTAGGGTTTAGGGTTTAGGGTTTAGAGGGTCTGAGAATCAGAGACCCTGACGCAAGCCCCCCAACTTCTGGGTTCGGGTCGCTTTCACGTTTTTTGGAGAGGTAATGGGTCTACAGATTCAGCAGCTATAGGCGTCGTGGTGTGTTTAGGTACTCCCGTGTGTCGGTGGGCAAGATTTCCTCCACAGCCCGTGGGGGTCAGCAGCATCCTTGTTGGATGGAGGTGTCTCCGCAGCCATATAAACATCCTATACGCTCTAAGCCGCAAACCCCTCTTGGGCGGGTCACAAAAACCTTGGAAAACATCGGCTCTGCCCACCAAATCTATCTCCCAAGCTGTTGCAGTTAGATGGTGAATACCAGGCAAAGTCTGCCGGCATTTGTTGGGGAAGGTCAGCTAAGCCCAGAACTTCAGACTCAATAAGGTAGCAGGATCTACTTTCATGGTGGTGGCCAACAATGTGGTGGAGGTGTCGGCGAGTAGGTTTCGCTTGCTAGAGGACGGGTAACCGCCTCGCCTGGATGAACAGGGCGATTATTAAAACAAGAAACCAAGCCCGAAACCCTAAGCCCTAAGCCCCTAAACCCTGAGCCCTCAGAACTATGAGCTCTAAACCCTTGAGCCTTAAACACCCCTTGCCGCAGCCGAGGAATGTGACTATGGACCAGCCTTCTTCTGAGAGATCTTCGGGTTTCTCCAGAGGATGGTTTAGGGTGTCGGGTTTCGGGAAAGTGCTTGCACTTTTTGGAGATTTGGGACCCGTCAGCTCTTTCTACCCCTGGAAGTTTCTGTCAAAGCCTGGCGCGACTATTCTCCCAGGATCCCCGACCGTAAACCCTCAACCCAAAAGGGACCCCTAGTTTGGATCTGGGTGTTGGGTCTAGAGTCTGGGGAATGATCCCTTCCACCCACTTTTCAGTCCCTAAGGACGTCGCATCTTTGGTCCTTAGCCGCGTTTAACACTTGTAACGCTACTAAGCCCTGAACCTGGGATGTTCCCCCTGATACCACAGTCCTGAACAGGGATTATGGTACCCCCTAGTATAATTCCTATTCAGGACTGTTAGTATAAGGGGGAACATCCCAAACCCTAAACCCTAAACCCCAAACCCCAAACCCCAAACCCCAAACCCCAAACCCCAAACCCCAAACCCCAAACCCCAAACCCCAAACCCCAAACCCCCAAAACCCCAAACCCCCAAACCCCAAACCCCTAATCCCCAAACCCCAAACCCCAAACCCCAAACCCCAAACCCTAAACCCCAAACCCCAAAGCCCAAACCCCAAACCCCAAACCCTAAACCCTAAAGCCTAAACCCTAAACCCTAAACCCTAAACCCTAAACCCTAAACCCTAAACCCTAAACCCTAAACCCACCCAAAAAGAAGTCCGAGGCCCGAGTTCGCTGAGCAGCTGGACATCCGGGATGCGGCCTTGACCGGGCCGGGCCGCCTGAGCTTGGGTTTAGGGTTTAGGGTTTAGGGTTTAGGGTTTAGGGCTTAGGGCTTAGGGCTTAGGGCTTAGGGCTTAGGGCTTAGGGTTCAGGGTTCAGGGTTCAGGGTTCGGGGTTTGGCAGCCTGAGCTTCCGCTGCTTCGGGCTTACAGCTTTTCTTCCTCTGGGGGTTTTAGGGTTTGTAGCGTTGGCCTCTACAGAGCCTTTTGTCTCTTCGGGGGTTTAGGGCTTCCAGGGTTAAGAGGCGTTCTTTAGGAATTGCAGGGGTTTGTGGCGGTTTATGGTCTTTTGTGGTTTGCACGAGCATTCCGTGTAGGGCCTTGGCGAGTTCCTTCCCGCAGCGTCTGCAGGAAGATGGACTACGGCCCCCCCGGGATGGCGAGCATGAACGGCAATGGCTTAGGCCCTGGGGGCCCCCCGAGGCACGTGGGCAAGAGCGGGAAGAGTGCTGTGGCGAGCAACGGGGGGGGGGGGGGAAGATGTAGGGGCCGATCTCTCTGGTGGGCTCCCTTCCACGGGTGTTTCGAGTTTCGGGTCTCCAGGGCTATTCCTGATGGAGTAGGGCTGCAGGGCCCCGTCCACAATCAGGTGGCGATGGCTCCAAAAGAGTATTCCATGCGCGAGTTCTGTACCTGAAATTTACTCAACCACAAAGCTCCGCTTGACATGGAAACACCCCAGGCGTGACCCCTAATCAAGCGTACAACAACCCTGACAGCGCTAGGAAAGCCCTCAGGAACATGCGCAGGAACGCTAAGCACAATGCTCCAGCGAAGCCGGAAATCGGCGAGGGCGACCATGTCCGCGTCCGGGTGAAACCAATAGAGAGCCGGGGATCTTACAGGGTCACAGAAACGGCTTGGTCGGAGAGGGTTTACCGGGTGAACGGGGTAGAGCACACAAGCAACGGCGTCATGTTTACGCTACAGGGTTGGCAGGGAGGACCGCTACTGGCCCGAGACGTTCGACAGGTAGAGGGGCAGAGGGAGCGGAGGTTTCCGGTGCAATCCAGAGAAATGCGAAACGCAAGAGCTGCAGCAGACAGGGCTTTTCCGGTGGGGCCCGTGGCTAACTCGCTGCTTCTGGGTCACAGGGTCTTGCCTGGCTTGGTTCAACGTGGTGCAGGAGTGTACCCCAAACCTCAAAACCCTGAACAACAAAACCCTAGCCCTAAACCCTAAACCCTAAACCCTAAACCCTATAACCCTAAACCCTAAAAACCCTGAACCTTCCAGGCATTCAGGGTCTCTAAGGGGTTGCCGCCGCCCCACTGCGCCAGACGTCCTGCCTCGATCGCTCCCGCCTACCAGCCGCGACCTCTGCAGGGGGCGACAGGGTTTTTTTGTTGGGGGGTCTTTCGGGAAGTTTCGGGTTTAGGGTGATTTAGTCTTTGTACGGTTTGGGGTTTCTGGGGGGGTCTTTCGGGAAGTTTAGGGTTTGGGGTGAAGGGGGCTTAGGTTTAGGGTGGTTTAGGCTTTGGGGATGTTTGGGGTTTAGGGATTTTAGGTTTGGGAGGTTAGGTTTCGGGTTTCGGGCTTGAGGTTGCGTAATTAGGGGATTCGGCGGGGTGTAGCGTTCCGCTTTTTGGTGGTGTTCTATTGGAGCGTCCCTTCATGCAGATGGCCCTGGGTTCGGGGTTTAGGGTTCGAGAGGTTGAGGGGGTTTGGGGCTCAGTGTTTCAGTCTACGTAGGGCCTGGGCGTGGGAAAGGGCTCAGCGGGAATTCCCCGCCTGACCGGGTCGTTTGTCGTTTTTCATCACGTTGTACCTTGCGAAACCTTAAGCCTTCTACGATCTGAAAGGAGGAAGGAACTGAAACCCTGGACGCTACACTCCGGACACGCCCCAGACTTTGCACCCCAAGTTTGGACAGGACCAGGCACAGCCTGTCGCCCCCGACGGGCGCACCCCAGCGCGGGACCCGGGAGGGTCGACACAAGCCCTACTCAAAACCGGAGTGGGTTTTGCGTGTTCGGGTTTGGGGTTTAGGGCAGCATCTGATGATCCCCCTTTGCACCCCAAACTTCTAACCTTCAACCCCCAACCCTAACACCCCCCAAAACCGGCGAGAGAGCGCCACTGACCATCATATGAGCACTCGGAGCCTGTCAAGCACGGTATGGGCCTGGGAGGATACTTGAAGGAGGGAGACAAGTACCCTAAATACGGTCATGGCCATCGCTACCCTGCTGTTAGCCCCACTTATAGCTACCCATGTACCTCCAAGCAGGGATATAAGTACCCTTACTAAGATGGGGGGAAGAGAAAAGCAAGAGCCCTAAACCCTGAAAGAGAATGGTTAAGGTTTCTGTGGTCACTGGGGTAAATACCCAGAGAAAGACCCGTGTGAAGAGAGTGAGTGAAGGGAATCATAAAGAAGCTTGCGGCTGCATGCAATTCACTGAGTGACTAAATGCAACCTTGTCTCTAGTCAAGTCGTTTAGGTAACAGCGAGGGATGGGAGAATGAGGTGTGTTCGCGGGAGGTGCTAGTGCCAGAATGAGGGAGCACTTAGCTATGCAAACCCTCAACCCTCAACCCTCAACCCTAAACCCTAAACCCTAAACCCTAAACCCTAAACCCTAAACCCTAAACCCTAAACCCTAAACCCTAAACCCTAAACCCGAAACCCTAAACCCGAAACCCTAAACCCTAAACCCTAAACCCTAAACCCTCAACCCTCAACCCTCAACCCTAAACCCTAAACCCTAACGCACGATTCGCAGTGCGCCCTTGGAGCTAAAGAGGCCCCGCTCCCAGTGCATCCACTGGCGCACACCTCAATCCTTAAGGGCTTAAACGCCAAACCCTGAACCCTAAACCCTAAACCCTGAACCCTGAACCCTGAACCCTAAACCCTAAACCCTAAACCCTAAACCCTAAACCCTAACCCCAACTAACTCCTAGACCCCAGACCCCAGACCTCAACCCTTGGTCCGAATCCATGCTCCTGAGGCGCAACTTGATGGGGGTGCCATGGCTGCAGCGACAGCAGTGGGTGCAGTCTGTGTAGATGATGTTTCCGGATGCTTCTTCTGGGAAGTAGGTGCCCCTACATAATCCTTAAACCCTAAACAATCCTTAATGGCTGCCCATATATAGGGGGATATGAGGTGCCTAGTTCCCTGATTCTTTACCTGAGGACGGTTTGAGGGTTATATCAGTAAGGATGGAGCTGCCAGGCTCTCATGGATTCAGGGGTTTGGGGTTATAGGGTTTTTAAGCTTTGGTGTGGGTTGAGGGTGAAGGGCCTACATGGTCTTTCCATGGGTTTCTGTCTGCCACAGCTCTCGACAGAAGTCTTGAGACTCGTAGTTTACCTTGTGGGGCAGTTCTCGAAATAATGGTCACGTCTGGGTTACCCTACATGGAAGGGGCCATAGTAACATGTTAGCAGTGCGTGCGAACGGCCACAGAGCATCCATGCCCGCACGATGAGTACGACAATCTAACAGTGCGCACTGGCCAAAGCATCCATGCCCGTACCACGATTATACGACCATGTTACCAGTTAGCAGCACGCCCCTGAAACCTAAACCCTAAACCCGAAACCGTAAACCGTAGTTAAACCCTAAACCCTAAATCCTAAACCCAAAACTCGAAAGCCTAAACCCTAAACCCAAACCCGCAGGCACACGCGAATCAAGATATCCGACAGCTGGAAAAGCAGCCGGCACGGTCATCAGATGGTGCTCCAATGCCCTAGAAACTGGTCGCAAAGGTCGCGGCCCGAGTTGTGTTTTCTGGATGCGACCGCCGGGGGGTTGGTCAAAAGATCTTGCGGCGCCGGCCACGCTTTCCGAACCTCCCACTCCGAAGATGTGTTTTTTTTTTTCCCGCCGCGCACCTGAAACTACGAGATCCTGCCCTACTTGGAGGTGAACTTATGAACCAATGATAGCTGTACTTCTATCTGTACTCATAGCCATCTTAGGGCACTTAAGGTTCATAAGTACCATGAACCTCCAAATACCGCTGCAGGCTCCGCCCGCGGCTTCGTTTCAGTCTGGCAGCGCGGTGCCCAGAAAGCCCGGCCCTACACCCTAAACCCTAAACCCTAAACCCTAAACCCTAAACCCTAAACCCTAAACCCTAAACCCTAAACCCTAAACCCTAAACCCTAAACCCTAAACCCTAAACCCTAAACCCTAAACCCTAAACCCTAAGCTCATGGGTGCCCCCTACTACCCCGCCTAGGTTTCCCCCCATCATGAAGGCCATTTATGGATGGTTCAGCCTAGTTAGGGTTTAGGGTTTAGGGTTATTTAAGGGGGAAACCTAGGGGGGGAGACGAAAGACGGGGGGTAGTAGGGGAACCCATGATAAACCCGAAACACTTGTATCCTGCAATCTGACTAATGTAGGGGGTCGGAACAATTACGATAATAGTATTCCTTTAGGATCCCTTGATAGATATACTATAATAACCACCCCAAAACCCTATTCTAACTCTTCAGGCCCCTATCGTAAAGAAAATATACAAACCACAGCCTGAAGCCCTGAGGAGCGTCTCCAGAGTTCTCTATAGAGGGTTTCCTTTGGGGGCAGCCCTAAACCGTCTCAGCCCTACTCCTCCAAACCCTAAACCCTACACCCTAAACCCTAAACCCTAAACCCTAAACCCTAAACCCTAAACTTGTAAACCCTAAACCCTAAACCCTAAACTGAAGAAACAAACCCAAAACCCTCAACCCTAAACCCTAAAATCCCAAACCCCCACCCGAAACCCTAAACCCCAAACCCTAAACCCTAAAACCCCAAACCCTAAACCCTAAACCCCCAAACCCTAAACCCTAAACCCTAAACTAAACTTGTAAACCCTAAACCCTAAACTGAAGAAACAAACCCTCAACCCTCAACCCTCAACCCTCAACCCTCAACCCTCAACCCTCAACCCTCAACCCTCAACCCTCAACCCTCAACCCTCAACCCTCAACCCTCAACCCTCAACCCTCAACCCTCAACCCTCAACCCTCAACCCTCAACCCTCACCCTAAACCCCAACCCTAAACCCGAAACCTAAACCCTAAACCCTAAACCCTACCTAAACCCCTAACCCCCTAAACCTAAACCCTAAACCTAAACCCTAAACCCTAAACCCTAAACCCTAAACCCTAAACCCTAAACCCTAAACCCTAAACCCTAAACCCTAAACCCTAAACCCTAAACCCTAAACCCCTAAACCCTAAACCCTAAACCCTAAACCCTAAACCCTAAACCCTAAACCCTAAACCCTAAACCCTAAACCCTAAACCCTAAACCCTAAACCCTAAACCCTAAACCCTATTCGCGGAACCCAGGAGGCGGGGGCGGCGGCTCGCGCACTTCCTACCACATTGGCTCCCTGGCCTGCTAGGGTTCTTCGTTTAGGGTTTAGGGTTTAGGGTTTAGGGTTTAGGGTTTAGGGAATGAGGGCAGTAGCTAGGTGTCCTAGACTAGTTGAGGGTTGAGGGGTGAGGGTTGAGGGTTGAGGGTTTAGGGAATGAGGGCAGTAGCTAGGTGTCCTAGACTAGGACCCGGAGTAGGCCCTCATGTCTTTTTGTTATGGTTGGGGTTCCCTTGTAATCCACTACTCCTGGGTCTAGTAAACGTCCTTTATAATTTAGGATGTTCCCCCTTCTACCAACAGTGCTTAATCGGGAATTTTTTATCGGGAGGTAGCATAACCCCTACTAAGTACTGTTGGTGAAAAAGGGGGAACATGGATTAGTGGTGGCTCGAAACTCGACTCCTGTAGCACAAGCGGGACGTCCGGAGCTCTGCAGTGGTTCGAGAGTCGACTTTACCCCCTAAACCCTAAACCCTAAACCCTAAACCCTAAACCCTAAACCCTAAACCCTAAACCCTAAACCCTAAACCCTAAACCCTAAACCCTAAACCCTAAACCCTAAACCCTAAACCCTAAACCCCAAGCCACAAGGGTAGTGCGCGGAGGACGTCTGGAGCTCCAGGTGGCATCGAAGTCCTTAATTCGCGATCTGTGAATCTCCTCGTGTCCCTATGTGCTCTCTTACTGTTTGGGGTCTACGCTGGTGGACTAGGGGTTTAGGGTTTAGGGTTTAGGGTTTAGGGTTTAGGGTTTGGGGTCTACGCTGGTGGACTAGGGTACCTAGAATTCCCTTGTCTCTTACCAAGGACCGGGTTTCGGGTTGTGGAGCTTGCACACCCTGAACCCAACCCTATGCCCTAAACCTATGCCCTGAACTTTAAACCTTCAGCCCCCGAACCCTAAACCCTAGCCCTAAACCCCAAACCCTAAACCCTCAACCCTCAACCCTCAACCCTAAACCCTAAACCCGAAACCCTAAACCCTAAACCCTAAACCCTAACTTTCAACCTTGCCACTCCTTCCTTGCCCAGGGAGTATGGCCCGCGCCGGGAGCTCGATGGTCTCCAGCGGCTCCGGGGCCTCTCGGCTGTGGTCTAGGGTTTAGGGTTTAGGGTTTAGGGTTTAGGGTTTAGGGTTTAGGGTTTGGGGTTTAGGGTTCAGGGTTTAGGGTTTAGGGTTTAGGGTTTAGGGTTTCGGGTTTCGGGTTTCGGGTTTAGGGTTTAGGGTTTAGGGCTAGGGTTTAGGGTGAGAGTAGGACTCACAAGACTGAGAAGAGCAGCTCGTTTTCCAACCTCCGCTCGGCGTCCGGGTGGTGCGATCTCGACGAGAGTGGCCTGGATGCAGATGAGGTTGTGGCACCGCCTGCGGCATGCACAGAGGCTATGGGGAAGCCGAAGAATGAAGCTCAGAAAGGCACCGCAAAAAAGAGGCTTGCGAAGAACCTGGCTCCGATGAGGAAGGAAAGCAAGGACATGACAAAGGCTCCGGTGAAGGGACTAGGGTTTGGGGTTTAGGGGTTTAGGGTTTAGGGTTTAGGGTTTAGGGTTTAGGGTTTAGGGTTTAGGGCTAGGGTTTAGGGTGTAGGGTGCAGGGTTTAGGGTTTAGGGTGGTAAGGTTTCTGGAACCCCCAAGCAGAGTGTTGAGGGTTCATGTAGGTTTTTTTTCGGGTTTGGGGGTTTGGGAGGTTTAGGGTTTGGGGTTTAGGGTTCGGAGCTGAAGGCGTATAGGGTTTATGGGGGGAGTGGGGTTTCAGGTTGATTGTTTCGGGGGAGAGGTTTCAGGGGTGCGCCAAGGGCTGAAACCCTAAACTGTTTGTAGTCCCAGGTTTCTGCAAAGCCCAATCCCATCAGTCCCCTTCGGTTCTCTCGCTCTCTCTCTCTCTCCCTCCCTCTCTCTCTCTCTCTCTTGCGGTCTCTGCCTTGGTATCCACGCGGCTTTGCCGGCAGAATTTCTTTTTGCTTTAAGTTTTATTTCGAAGCCCGAAAACCTCAACTCTGAACGCATAACCCCGAAACCCTAAACCCTAAAACCCCCTAAACCCTAAACCCTAAACCCTAAACCCTAAACCCTAAACCCTAAACCCTAAACCCTAAACCCTAAACCCTAAACCCTAAACCCTAAACCCTAAACCCTAAACCCTAAACCCTACACCCTACACCCTACACCCTACACCCTACACCCAAAACCCCCTAAGCCCTGCCCCGCAAATCGACCACAGAACCCGGCCCCTCGCCCCTTTCCCCGCCTGCGATCCCGAGGATCCGGAGATGCAAGCGCTGATCAAGCCTCCCTTGCACGTCTTCTGAGTAGAGCTGGGCAGCTGGGCAGCGGTGGAGCCCCGGAAACCCTGTTCCATTAAACCCTAAACCCTAAACCCTAAACCCTAAACCCTAAACCCTCAACCCTAAACCCTAAACCCTAAACTTGTAAACCCTAAACCCTACCCCACCCCCCCCCCCCCCGACCGGAGCTGCGGTGACCGCACGGAAGGTAGGGTTTGGGGTTTGAGGAGGACCTTCATGAAAACAATATGTGTAAATACTCCGTAAAATAATATTCCAAGGGGGCTAGAGTTTAGGGTTTAGAGTTTAGGGTTTAGGGTTTAGTGTTTATTTAGGGTTTAGGGTTTAGTGTTTATTTAGGGTTTAGGGTTTAGGGTTAGGGTTTTAGGGTTTGGGGTTTATGCGTTCAGGGTTTGCCCCACCGCCACATGGGACGCGTGGTCATGCTCCTTCGCGACCCACCCATCCACACCTCAACCTGCGGCGGGAAGTAAAATGAATTCCTCTTTTTGGGGAGACATCTAGAATCCAAAGCCTTCACGCTACCTTCATTTCTAAGTGCTAGAATGCTCAGAGCCCTGAACCCCAGAGCCCTATGTCCTCAACCCTAGAATTCTCAATCCCAAAATCCTAAACCCTACGCGCTATTCCCTAGAATCCGGCCCCCAAAAGTCCGAGTCCCTACCCCCTACAATCCTGCCCTATAAGCCAAAGGGCGGTGTTGGAACTTAAAATTGGAGGTTCATCACTTGGAAGTCTACTCATAGCCTACTTAGATGACTTCGGGGACTTAGGGGGGCTTACAAGTACAGCTCTAATTTGGGGGTCGAAGTACTCATGGACCTCCAAGTCTGGGGCCAGCCCCGACGGTGGCAAAAGCGGGTTCATGCGTAGGAGCGCGCTCCTGGCGCGCTCTGGCCCCTCTCCCTCGTGAGGCTTGCGCCTGCGCGCTCGGGGCGCGCTAGGTCAGGGGTTCAGGGTGTTATGGTTCAGGGGTTCAGGGCTTCGGGGGTTTAATCCAAAAACCCTAATTAACCCTCAACCCTAAACCCTAAACTAGGGCTTCACGGGTTTTGAAATTCTGAGCGGCTTTGGAGGTTTGGGTTTAGGAAGATCTTCTTCTTGGCGAGCTCCGCTTCTTGTTGTGCCTCCAGCGCGGCCTTGCTGCCGGAGTAATTCATGGCTCTCCAAGAGGTGAGAGAGTGCAATATGGATAGTGAGTTGGGGCAGCCACCGCCCCACCAGAAAGGGAAATCCCTGAAGAGATCATGGGCGGGTACCGTTTACATGACCAGTGAGCGTTCATTGTAAAGGTTCCCCCCCCCCCCCCAGAAGGGACCCAATTTGCAAGAGCAGCCTTAAATCCTAAACCTTTAAACTTTTAAACCCTGAGCAGTGAACCCTAAACCGTAGCCTCCATCCAGCGGGTTGAGGGTTTCAGAGCTTACCAAGAGGCTTACTTCCGGGCGTACCAAGATTGAAGCCTTAAATCCGCTATGTAAACCCCTAAAGTTAAGTATGCTTGTCTCAGTATTACAGTCGGTGCTGCTGGAAGTTATTATTGGGTCCATAGGTATTAGGTATGCTTAGGTAGACGGTGGGTGCAGTCTGCCCCGTAGCCGAGGGGCGCCTGCAGAAATGTACCATATGAACAACGCCACCACGCCTGACAAGAGCGGCCAAAAAAAAAACATGTTTAGAGAGGTGCGAGCAGGGTTTATAGTTTAGGGTTTCGGGCTTAGGGTTTGGGGTTAGGGGAGGCCCAGCCCCAAGAAACTTCAAGCACCCCAGAGCGAACCCTGTAAACGAACCCTCGAACCGCAAGCCCTAAGCCCTAGAACTAAGGGACCATTTAGGAAGTCTAGGATGTTAAGGGTTTCAGGTTTAGAATCGGGGTTGAGGGGTTGGGGTTTAGGGTTTTCAGGAAACTTTGCGCCCCTTAAGAGGATAAACCCTGTAAGCCCTATGACCTCTATGAAACCCTATAAAACCCTGCCTATAAGCCCTAGCAGCCCTTCAAAGCCTATGGAACTCCATGAGCCCTAAAAGCCTATCAAGCCTCTACACCCTTTAAACCATATAAGCCCTATACAGCCTATAAACCCTGTAGCCCTGAACCCTATATGCCCTATAAAGCCCTGTAACCCCATAAGCACTGTAAACCCTCAAAACCCTGTAAACCCCATAAACCCCTGAACCTTGGCCCTAAACCCTGAACCCTAAACCCTAAACCCGAAACCCCTTAAACCCCTTAAGCCCCTTAAACCCCTTAAACCCCTTAAACCCCTTAAGCCCCTTAAACCCCTTAAACCCCTTAAACCCCTTAAACCCCTTAAACCCCTTAAACCCCTTAACCCCCCTTAAACCCCTGAACCTAAGATGCCCAGTATCTTCCCTTCTTTCAAGGCGCTTAGGGCTTAGGGTTTACGGTTGGTGACCCCCCCATAGTCTAAATCCTTAAGCCCTACATCCCCCTTGGGCTTTTTTTTACTAGTCCATAAACCCAACATGCCCTAAGCCCTCCCAAAACTAAGAGCAATCCACAAGCCCACTATCTCAGGTTGGAACCATGGGCCCTTAGTGGTCCCTTTCCCAGCCGCCAACCCTTCAGAAGTTGCTCAAGCCTGGCCACAGCGGACGCGTTCGCCGTGAGCAGGCATTGGGTTGAGGGCTTGGGCGACATGGGACCTTGGGGCTTGAGGGGTTAAAGTTCAGGGTTTCAGGGGTGTTGGCTTCTTGTCCTGGAAGGCCTCCGGTGCGTCAAGCCAGCGCAATGAGAACACTGAAGCAAGAATCCCCTAAACCCCACACCCTAAGCTCTCCCAAAAATTCGGATGCTCTTCGGAGTCCCTACAAGACGGCGCCCTGGGGGTTCCCTAACATAGGAGGGTTCAGGGTTTAGAGCTCAGGGTCCAAGTTGAAACAAAATGCCAAGGGGTTTAGGGTTTAGGGTTTAGGGTTTAGGGTTTCGAAGGAACATCCAGCAGTTGATGAGCACCCACGGCCTGTTAGGGTTTAGGGATTGCGCTGTAAGGGTTTAGGGGTTTACGAGTTGTTACGTGATGCTGCTCAGGAGTCAATGCAGGCATACCATAAGAACCTAAGCTCTACAGCCCTGAAGCCCTAAACTGTAAAGCCCCAAAGCCATAAGCAATCCCAAGCCTGAAGCCCCCTGCGCCCGAAAACCCTCAAACCCTTAGCCCTAAACCACTAAGATTTCGACACTAAACCCTAAACCCTAAACCCTAAACCCTAAACTCTAAACTCTAAACCCTAAACCCTAAACAAAATCCTCTAACCCATACTAAACACCCATAAGATGCAAAACTCCCGCCCTGGACCCTAATCATCAGAACCCGAAGCCTCTCAACCCAAAACTCAGAAACCCAGAAACCCAGAACCCCCCCCCCCCCCCCCCAACCCTAAACCCTAACCCTAACCCTAACGCCTCCCTAAACCCTAAACCCTAAACCCAACCTAACCCAATCCCTACACCCTAACCCTAAACCCTAAACGAACCCTAAACTAAACCTAAACCCTAAACCCTAAACCCTAAACCCTAAACCTAAACCCTAAACCCTAAACCCTAAACCCTAAAACCTACCCTAAACCCTAAACCCTAAACCATAAAACCCTAAACCCTAAACCCTAAACCCTAAACCCTAAACCCTAAACCCTAAACCCTAAACCCTCAACCCTCAACCCTCAACCCTCAACCCTCAACCCTCAACCCTCAACCCTAAACCCTGAACCCTGAACCCTGAACCCTGAACCCTAAACCCTAAACCCTAAACCTAAACCCTCAAATCCCCAAACGTCAGAAACCCCCGAAACCCTAAACCCAAGAAACCCAGAAAACCCCAAACTCCAAACCTAACGCCCCACCGCCACCACCACCGCCACCACCACCCTAACCCCCTAACCCTAAACCCTAAACCCTCAGCCCTTATCCCTAAACCCTAAACCCTAAATACCTCTCAGGTGCGGCTCGGGCCATGGCGACCCTGGCCGACTCTTTCCTTCAGGACAAGGGGGGTGGGGGGGGTTCGAGGGTTTAGGGTTTAGGGTTTGTTTTTGGGTTTCTCAGGGTTGTTGGGGGTTTATTTGAGGGTTAAAGGTATAGGGTTTTAGGGCTGAGAGGTTGGGTTTGTTAGGGTTTGGGTCTAGGATAGGGGGGAAGATATCGGCATCGTGGGCAGGACTGCGAACATGGAAGTCCCAGCAAAGGAAGTAAACCCTAAACCCTAAACCCTAAACCCGAAACCCTAAACCCTAAACCCTAAACCCTAAACCCTAAACCCTAAACCCTAAACCCTAAACCCTAAGATTAGGGTATAGGGTTTATAGGACCCCTAAACCCCTCAACCCCTAAACCCCCAAGCCCCAACGCCTCCGGAGGATCTTGAGGACCTCGAGGAGCCGGACCCCGAGGCACCTGGTGTTCCTGCCTCTGGGGTTTAGGGTTTAGGGTTTAGTTTAGGGTTTAGGGTTTAGGGCTTATGAGGGTTTAGGGTTTGGTTTAGGGTTTAGGGTTTAGGGTTTAGGGTTTAGGGTTTAGGGTTTAGGGTTTAGGGTTTAGGGTTTAGGGTTTAGGGTTTAGGGTTTAGGGTTTAGGGTTTAGGGTTTAGGTTTCGGGTAGGGTTTGGGGTGGGGAGGCAAGGGTCCTAGAAGTTGGGACACACACACACACACACACGATGAGCAAACTACAAGAGAAGCTTTTGGTGCTCCCTTTCTTCGTCCTGTGCAGGCTGAGGAGCCCGGTGCTTGGCTTCTGCGCATATGGGGGGCTGACGAGACCCAGAACCCCAAACCCTAAACCCCCGAACCCCGAACCCCAAAAACCTTCTAAACCCTAAAGCCCTCAGCAGCCACGTTCATCCTTAGGGCACGCACCTTTCCGCTGGACCCCAAACCCGGAACTCTACACCCTAAACCCTAAACCCTAAACCCTAAACCCTAAACCCTAAACCCTAAACCCTAAACCCTAAACCCTAAAACCCCAAACCCCCCCCTGAGCTGTC